GATGATCTGTCTAGGTCCCTTCCGACTCATTGATTCTATGATTCTATAAATGCATGCTTTCCAAACATTACAAGTGCCTTACCTGCCGGTAGTGGCGTGTACTCTGTATCATGTGCATATACATATTGTACACAAAGTTAGCCATCTGAGGCATGTTCTTTATTACATGGATTTGGTGAGGAGGCCTTTCTCCATTCTAGAGGAAAAAAATGCAACGGTTAACATTCAGAATGTAAGTAACACAAGAGATCTTCAAAAAGTATTTTCCAATATTAGGGAAGATGTGAAAAAGCCTAAAAGTGAAGTTAAGTATTTCAAAACACAATAGTGGACAGGGAAGGGGACTGAAAGCTATATCAACAAAATGACTTCAGTGTCCAAAGCTGGACTTTGGCTGGACAATTTCGACAGGAAGACATGAGAGACCACAATGCATTATAGCCTATAACAGTGGTTATATTGAATGGTGCAAGGTGGGAAATACAATTTTCAGTCCTGTTGAGGAGAAATATGAAACATGCTTCTCATGTGCAGCTCCACCACTGCTCAAACTCTTCAGGACTACTTGCTCAAGCAGTAGGTCAGCATAAGCTAGTTGGCTTTCCCTGGCCACAGTGAAGAGCTATCACTGAGGCAGCTTCCCATTTAGTATGCTACCTATTAGGAGTTCCGTTCTGAGGTCACGAATGCTCCTCGTCGACTGTATATAGACTTATTTTAAGGCTCCGAAAAGCTAGGATTTGCAAAATTCAATGTCTCAGTGCTTAAAGTCTCTTTTGGATCTAGTCCTAAGTTCATCTGTAGAGCAGCACTTCTTAAGATACATAATGGAAGGTTATGTTTACACCTCAAGAAGAAAATATCACAAGTAAATAGGCAAAAAGGCACATTAAAAGGTTTGCTTTATTAAACACTGTGAAGTGGTCATACTGCTATAAATATGAACAGTCCCCTTGCTACGCAGCATCAACTGCTTCAACTAAACTATGTTAGTATTATTCATCTAATGATCTGGAAGAATCATCTGCATGTGCTCTTGATGAAAAGACACCAAAGAAACTGTCATTTTTAAAAAGCACTATTATTATAATCTGGAGGAAAGTTAGAATTCTGATGTTACATATGAACTAATTCTTTACCTGTAATTCCAAGAAAACATCTCCATTAAATGCGTATCAGTGCAATACATATTGATACAATCACACAAAGAACTGAATGTGTGAGAAACATTTAAGATTAAAACACATCAGACTATCAGTATACTGTCTAATATTAAGTTATATTTCTTTTATGAAGGGCCATTTATTTTAGAAAATGTATAGATATTTTTTCCTGTTTATAGCAGGAAAAATGTGCACTATACTATGCTTGCCAAGTTTAATGCAAAAGAAATATTAAACTCAGTGTAACAGAACTTAAGGATAAGGCTGGTACAACTGAACTCAGCTTTGCTAATACCAAAGAGATTCAGTTGATGTTGATGGGGTAACATGGTAAATGCTGATGCCTTAGGAGGCTGGCAGTTGTTACTAGCATGATCAGATTCATTCCCCAATCCCAACAATCATGCCTCCTGCCATGCTGTAGGTGCATGGCAGAAGGTGCAACTGTTGAGATCAGAGAGCAGGTACAAACTGCATCATTGCTAGTAGGGAGTCCAGAGCATGGATTTATAGGTGATAGATGGGGGATCTGAGGGAAGGAGTTGCTTGATTCCCCCTGCTTGGCTGCTGCAAACCCACCTGGCAACCACCTGGGCTGCACATGCATTTTTAGATATCCCAGCACACAGGGACCCTGGGATCAGGGAGCCTCTTCCTGATCTCAGAATCCCAGCATGCTGGGACCTTTAAAAACCATGCGTAAAGCTGGGCTGCACACATGCTTTAACCCACATCCCAGCACATGAGAACTCCAGGGTTCCTGATCCTGGGGCACCCATGTACCCACACCTGCAGGGCAAGGTGATCAACCTGCGGGTTCACAGGGTGTCCACAGGACTCCCCACAGCCTGAAATTTTGAAGTGCCTTGCCCAGAGGGGTTGCAAGGCAAAGCAGGGAATAAAGCTGGGTGCTAGGGTTTGCCCCTTGGCTCCCTCTGCTAGGGAACCTTGCAACCTGCTCCCCTCACATCCCATTTTTCACATTGGGACTGGGGTTGTTCCAGTCCTGATGCTAACCTCCATGCCCATGCTGATGCTGTCATTGGCTGATTGTTAGTATTGGCATGGGGGGATGGCACGTTCAATTTATGGTACCATACAAATGAGCCACAAAGATGTTCCATATAGTTTATGGAATTTCTTTGTAGCCAGTTTGCCGCTTTACAGTGCCATAAAACCAGCTGCATGTGTAGCACTATTACTATTTAGGACACCTTAATTGTACACATTAATTGTACTACAAATGTAACATGTCCCAGGGCAGTAGATACAATTATCCAAGCAACATTTAACTGTAATACTAAGAAAGCGTTGCAGTTTTATTCCTTACCATGCACTAATGAGTAAACTGGACAGTATAATAAAGTTTAGGATAGATGTTCCTACCTGTCTGGCTGTTGGGAAATATTCTGTAGGAACTATATGTAGATGAAGTGGTCGAGCTGTGAGTTGGCTGAAAGCTGGTGTTAGCTCAAAGCAGTTCTGGAACAGAGATACTCTTGCAAAGATATAAAGCCCAAGCCTGGCTCTTGACATGGCAACAACTAGACGTCGGACATCCCTTTAAGAAACAATGATATCAAATAGTTGTGGTCTTCTCACTACCCACGGTGCTTTACTTGACCCAAAAACATATCCATAAAACATTTACTGTGCAACAACACATAATTAAACAACATATATGGCATGAGGAAATCTGTAGATGAAAGGGACTTTTCCCTGGAAGTTTCTTCCAACTACTCAATTATAACTCAAGCTTTGTTATATTTTTTTCCAATACTTTTGAAGTAACACTCCACACTGGAAACTCACATGCTGTAGATAGTATTTCTATATCCCTGAGTTTGATGGACAAAGCTTTATCAATAGATTAACGTTTGAAAACTGATGAAAAATATCTCCTTTATCCTCAAAAGATGGAGGGCAGAAATTCTAAATTTTAACATATCAAGAAGTTAACTACGCACAGGCCAAACTCCTGCTCCCAAAATTCACTAGCACGAACCTTTTCTCACAAGACTATTTCAAGCCTTTGTCTGAACTTGTATTACATTCCTAGCTATTTTAATAGGGTAAAAATAAGTTCACCCCAACTAGGGCAATACAAGCTAATTATAGTGTTTAGATAAGACCCAAATTTGAAGGGCAAAGTGGTTGTGAAGTGGGTACCTGATGGCCATACATGGAATCAGCTTTGAGATTCTTTCAGTGAGTGACACTAAATATTATTAAAATGTATATGTAATTGTAACGTTTACAGCTGTACACTCTCTTCCTTTAAAAACAATCAAAGTAAAATACATGTTTTAATGTATTTGCAAGAATATCTTTCTACGTACCTCAGATGGCCAACAGCTTTTGTTCGTACCAGCGAAAGAAGGATATAATCATTTTGTTGACCTTGAAATCTGTCTACAGTTGTCACCTAAAAGGTATAAAGTAGTAAATTTAATTTACCTTGTGAACCTTTCAAAAAACCTTCTAAATAAAATATTTTAAGAATAATTTAGAATTTAGTAAATGAAAACCTGCTGAGAGAAGCCAGTTTATATTACAGTTTATGCTAAAGCTTGAGTAACTGGTAGAGAAGATAAAAGTATGTTGTCTGTTATGGTCTATTTCTAACCAGTGCCTAAAAATCACCAATCCTTTTGGCCTTGGCCTATGACAGGTATACAACTCCTCACTTCAATGAATACAGTGGTTTTAAAACAGACCGTAAAATTCCTCAGTACTTTCTTATGATTTTGTTCTAATGGCTGGCTGACAGGTGCCTTTGATCCAGAGATGAACTGAAAGATTAGCATTTTTCATGTATGTCATTTTAATATGATGGAAACCTCATTCTAAGGGCAGGACAAAAGAAATCAGGATAATGAGGTTCAACTATCCTTATGCTTACCATGTCAGCAAAAGCCACCCTCTTTAATATTTCAGGTTAAATCTGTTCATTCACATTTCATACTCTGCCTTTTAGACTGCATTAACCATTTTCCTTGTGGTTCTGAAACCTTGTCTCTTAGTTACTCCTCCCAGGTAAAGTGTCCTGTAGCATATCAAATCTAACTGTGCACAAATAATTGTTAAACAATGACTCTCCAACATCCACATATAGCTTACTCCTTAAGATTATGCTAAGGTTCACCACATCCCTTCTAGGCAGAGAACAGACCAATCTTTTGTTTATGGTATCAAAAATCATCTCTGATCTGAATCTACAACCTCCACTCAACCAGTTAATAATATAACCAGGAGATTCAAAGCCCATCAGTTCAATTCAAATATAATAAAAGCTTTTGTCTGTCTGTCTGTCTGTAATGCTTTATTCACACTCTGATTGGTCGCCTCAGCAGCCTATCACAATGCTGACTGAAACAATCAAATAAGAGTGGCTCCAAGAGTGTTCTGGACAGGAGGCAGCAGTGGCAGGACAGTGGAGCACCACCATGATGGCAGGGATGGAGCTGGGGGGGGCGAGGCCAACAACAACACTCACCCCCGCCCTGCTCCCTGGAGGCAGCAGCACCACAGGGTGCTGGCCAAGGAGGACGGAGGGGCAAGCTTCCCCCTCCCCCCCGCTCCTGGGAGGCAGGAGCGCAGGGTGGTGGGTGACAGTGCTCTGCTCCTGCCTGTTTCCCCCTCCCCTCATTCCTGACAGGCAATTGTCTAGTATATGAAGAAAACTCATGGCCATTACTCAGCATCCCACAATATATTGCTACAATTATTTTATATGGTTCTTAGCTAGAATTTGTAACCAGATATTACACCCAATGGTCATTTCCACTCTCAAATTAACTTTCACTTGTAAGTATTGTTGGTACGTATCCACATCACTTAGTTCATCTTTCCCATACACCTTGGAACTGAGATATACTTCATCTACTTAAGGATCTAATACGAGCACACAGGAAAAATAAAAACAAGCAGAAGTATGAATGTCTTGTGAATAGTGGTCTCTGCAGAATCCAAGTGGATATGTCATCTACTGTCATTAACTGGAAAAGTTTTTGTGCAGATACTGGTGAATTAATGCAACAATATTGTTTTGTAATTTGATATATTTCTAAAACAGCAGAGAATGATTTTGAAAATTACCTTGTTTGGCCGACCAATCATTGGGTTATTCCCACAACGCTGATTAATGACATCACGGATCAGATGCTTTTGTCCATTGTAAGTTGTCAGGATACTTATCTTGTCTGCAGGATAACCAAGCAGGCACATGTACATAAAGAGTGCCACAACATACTCTGCCTCACCAAGATTCTGCAGTTAAAAAAAGGCGCATGTTAATGTGTTTCTGCCTTTGCAGTGAGTCACCCCACAGGTCATCAGTACATATACTAAAAGTAAGTAAACAATCCTCGCATTAAAAAAAAGAGAACATCCAGAAATTACATGAAGAAGGTAAAGTTCATAATAAGAATGTCTGTTTTAACACTGCAGCTTTCAAAGCTACTGTGAATAGACAGAGACAAGATGATAATGACTATCAGTTATATGTTCAACTCTTCATCTGCAATCAAGTACGCATTCAAAAAGGTATACATTTTCTCCATCTTTGGGGATGCAAGCAAAAATCAAGGAAAATAATGGATCGGGAGAGAGATGCACCAAAACATTAGTATTATATATAAAATAATATAATTGTAAGCGTGTGTGCACATGTATTATATATATAATTTTTGCTACTGACCAATCATAAGAAGCATTTATTAAAACTGAATTTCTCTATGAATACAGAATTATATTGTAATGCTCCAAACATTTAAATTATTTATCTTCAGTCACAAACATTTAATATTTTTTATTTTTTTCCATGCTTAAGATGATAATGTGAAGTATCTATTACTGCAACGAATCTCTTACCTGATAGAAATAAGGATTGGGTTCAGACTCTCCCACTCCATTGAAATCTTCTACATTTATCAGCTGGAAATCATACAGAAATCCTGCATTTGCTGTTCTGAACTCTGGAAGGAGTTGCACATGAGGCAGATTACCCAGATTCTTGTAGCGCCAGTTGTAGAGGTTACACAAACTTCCCAGAAAAACAAAAACACAGTTAAAGAGATGCCTAAACATCTTCCTGACAAGTCAGATGAAAGAATATTTCTTATAAGTGACATATAAAGCATATAAAGGCATGACTTTTTATCTATAATTTTGCTAATACTCTTCAACACAGTTCAAGGTCTTTGCTAGATTTTTCACAGTAGGAAAAAAGAGGAGGAATTTGGCAAGACATTTGGAGGTTATGAATATCATCACACATGGCTGTAATTTGAGTTCCAGTTCACTCTTCTCTCAAGAAGAGTACAAGATTATGGACATACCCTGCCAACATCCTCTAGCAGAGGCCAAATACCCAATGTTCCCAACAATTTTGGTACACACTGAAGTCCCAGTTTCAAGAGCTATTTAGGATCAATTCCAAAAATGGATATATGTAGCTAAAGAAGATCTTAGGTAGAATTTAAGGGCCTATGCTCAAAAATACAGTCCAAACTGCCACCCACCTGCTCAAGACAACAAAGAGTCCATAGGCACCTAACTTTTCACCAGTATAGTTACTTGGGTTTCTCAAGTTCTACTATTCTGCAGGCCAAGAAGTGGAGCATTTCATCACCTCCCTGAGCCAAGCTGGGATTCTCAAACTGGGCATCCCTGCACTTAAGTCCTCTGAGGGAACTGATCAAGATGATGTGGTGAAGCATGCCAAAAACTCACTGGGAACACTGAGTTCCACAAAAACACAGAAACCATGAACACCATTCAAAATCACTGCTTCCAGCAGAGGAACAAGAGATGGTGCTTGCCTTTTATGGACGAAAGTGGCTAAACCACTTGCACAGGAAGTGGAGGGACCAGAGTTCAGTGCTCAACTCATTCTGTTAGCAATTAGATTTCCCAGTGTGCCCTACTCATTAAGGTAGAGACTGGGCTGTCTCTATCCTGCACTCAACATTCGTGCTGTTGAAGCTGGGGCAATATGCAGCCAAGAAAGCAAGAGTCAGACAGCCAAAGACTGCCAAACAAGAGGGCATATAACTACAGACCAAATACAAGTGTATTTCCTTTAGAGGGGAGAAGAGGAGAAAAGTCTGAGGTTTCCCAGAGCTTCCTACACATTTTACATTAAACAAGCTATTGAACAAATGGTATAAATAGCATTAAGAACGGTGGCCGGAATGCAGGACTGTCGCCAACCAGGGCTCCATGAAAATGCTACATATTTAATAGATTAAATTTAAGATAAATATGAAACGTTGTTAGCTAGATATACAAGGGCTGTGCTGATGGCCAGAAATTGAAGACAGAAAAGACTGGGCAAAAGAAGCAAGATGAAATAGGGAAATCTTGAACTCTCTCTGGAAGACGGACTGGGATGACTACAAGCAATAAGGAAAAGTTATAAGGAAGCAAGACAGAAGTGGAACAGAAAAAGAATATTGTTCCTCCTTTAAAGTGAATCCATTCCAGGTGCACTGCTTGGGACCTGTTCCTGCCAAAGGGTGCGTCTGCAAACAAGGAAGGGTAAGCAACTTTAAAAAAAGGAGCATAGATAAGATACCCTAAGGGTAGTTTTACAGATTTACTTTGGGGTGGCTGATGCCCTTTCTGCTCAGCATGTTGCCAGGGATGCATTGAATGGTCTCTTTTCTCCTTTGGCATACTGGAAATTGAATACTCTGCTACAGAATTTGGTCCACCTGACTAAGCAGTATTTAGCTGCTTCAGGCATTAAAACGTATGAAAAACAAACATGTCTCAAAATTGGATAGGCTCCACTAACGCCTAGTTTAACTACTAAAATGTTTTTCCTTGTAGGCACTGAAGCTCTGAGTAGAAGTCTTACAAGCTACGCACTGGACAGACACTCAAGTGACCTGGGTTATTTTTCCATCTCTACCTGTTGGAAGAACCGAAATGAGTCACTTTTATCACCACGTGCCATGCCATTTTCCTATCTATAAATGGGGATAATGATTCTGATCAACAGTTGAATAGAACAAGGTATTTTTAATAATGCGGCAGAATAATTTCCTGTCAGGCATGGAAAAATGAACTGTGGGTCATGAGAGATTAAGGGATGAAGAATAGGTCCTTGTGTCTTCTAGCAGAGAACTAGAGAAATCTCCCTGTCTAAGCACATTTGTGAATTAATCAAATGCAAACAAAAGTTAGATGTCATTTGTCTGAATGTACAGAACTGCCATACTGGGTCAGACCACAGGTCCATGTAGCCTAGCATTCTGCATCTTTCAGTAGCCACAGTTTTCGTTAACCTCGTTATTTTTCCCTTAACACTTTTGCATAGACCAACTCCGAGGAAGGCCAGGGCAAAGCTATCAGAATCTATTACCTTGGAAAAGGAGTCAGAGAAGTTCCTTAGATGACTAAGTAAAACTGAAGAGTTTAGATACCAAGGTTCACAGAGCAAGTCAAAAGGATCCTGTGCCAGGAACCATGAAAGTCATCTGGTCTTCAAAGAGCCCATAGGCATCTACAGGAGGGACTTTGAGCATGCTCAGAAATAACTGAGAGAGAAGACCTTGGTGCACCACAGTGCCTAACCTCTGTTACCACTTCAACTGATGTTGGGAGGTACCTAAATTTGTGCAAGTCCCTAGAGGGAACCCCTATGGTAAGCAGTAAAAGAACTGTGCCTTAATTCATATAAAAATGCTAGAATTTTTTCCTCTCATCTCTCTCAAATTCTCTGAGGAGATGCTTAGGAGCAGATGGCAACATTTAACTTCATTTATTATTTAGTTGTATTATATACTCAAACATTATAACTGGCATTTTAAAGTCACCCTGACAATATTTGTTGTCCATATGTTCAGAAGATAAATAGTCTGCAAACGTTTCAATTTCTCAACATGCTTCTGAAATGTAAAAATTAAATTTCTCTCTTATGTTGTTCATTGTTATTTTTTTGGAAAAAAATCATTGTAATTTAAAAAGCTTGTACCATTTAAAAATAGCAGTATTTTATCATGTGAAAATGGAATCAATAACTCACTTCACAGGAAGAGTCAAAAGGACATTTTACTTGTCCTATTTTTCCCTTACAAAATACACCGAAAAACAATCAACAAAAGTGTGTGAACTTTACACAATAGCATCTATAAGCAAAACAGAACACCTGAATATGGGAGCCAACCCAAAAGTGTATGCACTTCAGCAGTAGAGTCATTGTGAAAGTCTTTAGGGAGAGATACAGGAATAGATCCTCAGCTGGTGTAAAGTGTAAGTTCATGATCTGACCCAAAATGCTTACTACCCTCAGGGTTTGCTGTGCAGTAAGAGATATCTAGGGATTATCAAAGAAAGTCAGGGTTGGAAGGGACCTCAGGAGAACATCTAGTCCAAACCCCAGTTGAGACAGAAGAGGGGAAATAAGGGCTGGGTGTTCAAATTTGTGTGCATCTTGTGCACATACATGTATCCATGTCTGTGTGTGTTAAAATACAAAAAATATAAATAAATGAACCAAGTACACTTCTAGTGTAACATAACTGATTCCAGCAGATTTACACTATGTATTAAATTCAGTTATGTCTAGATGCTCAGAGTACTTTCCACTCCTTTTGTCCTATGTGTTAGTTGCTTGCTTTTGCTTTGTTTATTAGTTTAGCTTCTGTTACTTTGGAGAGAGAGATACATAAAGCAGGATTTTTCCCTGTTTGATTTCTTCTGACCAAGTGCTTCACACATGGAAACCTAGATTCACTCTTTGATGAACACAGTGCACTTGGACAGTTGTGGCTGCAGAAGCAGATCCAAAGCTACTCATGTTCTATTTAATTAAAACCTAGAAACAGCACTTCGAATTGGACCTAAACAGAACAGCAACAAATCGCAGAGTATGGAGCACCATTGTGATATTATTGTCTGTTGCTAGCTGCACTCCAACCGAGTTATGAGTTTAGAGCTGACCTTAACACAATCAGCCAAAGAATTACAGTAGTCCAGAGTTGAAATAACATGGATCATAGCAGCTATTGGAAGTAAGAGTATTTGTTGCATGATAACAACACTTCTGAACAACCTTGAATGCTGTTTATACATATACAAATGTAATTTCCTGATATCTAAAGTAAGAATTAGAATTTAACATAGGAAACAAAAGCATACCCATCCTGCAAGAGTATACCTCCAGTAGCTGTTATGTTATCCTTAAAGCAAGCATAAACGATCTGTGGTATTTCCAGAAAGAAAAGCTGTTGCATTACATAAAATCTTTTTATAAAGATTTTTAAAAAATTTCATTCAAAACATTTTTAAACAAACAACAAATTTCTCCAAAGCATTAGCACCCTGAACACTGGAACCAACACCATGTTACAGCACAAGAAACTCAAAAGTGAAATTGAACAGAAAATGATAAAGGTTAAATTATCTGCCTTCATTGTCTGAATTAAAAGGCATGCAAGAAGGAAGCAGACAGATGCATTAGATTTTTTTTGCAAACTCACAAGTGTAATCATATAAGGTGTCATTTTGAAGATCAAGGTTTTCAAAACTCAGTTTTTAATCTGATATCTTTTCCATGAGATGCCTACTCCCTTTTCTCCATCTTACCTTGCTCTTGCTCTTCCTTGAGCATCCAAGTCAACAGTTGGGACTCCCACCCGAACAAATCTTGTAAAAAGAGACTGTTCCATATTGGAGTATTTTTGAAAAGCCATGTTCTTAATGACAGGTGGCAACTGGTGATGGTCACCAATCATAATCCAGCGCTTCAACCGGCTGAATCCATCTTGGGGGTTCTAACAAACAATTAAAGATTACAGAATTAAACTTGATACAATTTGATCCAGGGCTTCTAAATTATAGTAAAGTAAGGGTCAACTTGATTACTTTAAGCCCTAACTTTGTATTTATATTTACATGTAATTGCATGGATTTGCAATCTGTATATAGGGTGTTAGCCTGGAGACAGCTCCTGCCTTTCTTATGTCTTCACTCCCCCAAAATGAGAGTTTAATATTTTACATTTAATTATTTACTTTTAAAGTTACCTGAGTATGATCCTAATTATTTACTGGAGATTTGAGGGTGATGAGAGAATCTGGTCATAGAGAACCAGGGCTAGGCTTATTATCCCTTCTCCTTGAAGGTCATTAGAAGATTCAAGAAGCTCTACCCAAGTCCCAGAGGCAAAAGCTACCTAGAGTGCAATCATTTCAAGGAAAACCACCCTTCACAAGTGAGCAAGAAAACTTACAGGTAGAGGAAAACAAAAATATATGGAAGGTGAGGAAGACACACAACTGAAAATGTCTGTCGTTGCAGAAAACTTTTATGTTCTTTTCATATTAACAGATGTACCACTGGAGAATATTTTTTTTAACAAAGACAATTTAAGTGTTGTGTACTATGCCACAACCAAATGCTCCCATTCCTACAAGTTACCCAACCTCTATATTGTACACACCTATGTGCTGACCATGCCTGTTCTCAGCTCCACACCACATCCCAGCACTGTGTTTCTATGAAATATAATGCATGCTCATTCCCAGATTCTTACACAGTGGTCTCAACACCAATGAGACTTATTTTAGAAAAAGGACAGAAACAGGGGGTATGGTAGTTGGATAATCTGGGGAGCAAAGCTGAAGCCTCCCAAGATCCATGACTGCACCAGTATGACCCACTTCTTTCCTCCTAGTCCTCTTCTGTACTTCTCTATCTTTTCTTTTCATTCCCTAGAATAGAGGTTGGCAACCTTTTCAGGTTGTGGGCTGGAATGACATAGCTCAGCTCAGAAGAGAACAGACTGATGAGTGGTAGGACTCAGCCACCATCACTACTCCCCATGAAGGCACAGACAGCTCCTGTAACCAGTGTTTCTGCTCACGGTGACACAGGAAGAGCAACTGCCACCAAAACGTGTCACTGATTCCTGTCACCAACAGCAATGAGGAGCACCGAATTTGGCAACGGCAGTAAGCAATGGCTGTAGCAGCAAAACGAGAGCACATCCTTTGGCACAAAGCAGGGAGGGCTGGGGTAGCAGATTAGAAGCATGAAGTAGAGAAGGCACCCCTCTCCTACGCATGCTGGGCAAGGCATAAGTTGCCCACACCTGACATAAATGACATGTAATTGGCACTACAGGGGCCTTTTATATTGTTAAAAACTAGAGGTGAACAGATATATTGGCTAGCTATCAGATCAGCACTGATAAAAGGAGAAATGACGTTATCAGCTGTTGGCTTTTTTTGGATGCTGTAGCTGATAATTACAGCCACGTGCCCAGGGCACCCGGACAAGCACGGTCTGGTCCTCGTGCCCTGTTGCTGGCCTGAGCCCATGGTGGACTACAGGTCCCAGAGAGTAGTGGGAGGAGGAAGGGGCACCAGGAAGTGATCACAGGGCACCGTGCTAAGCAACAAATGGATCGTTATTGGCTACTGTTGCCACTGCCACGGCAATGCCACATGGGCAGCAGGAGCCTGAGCACTGAGCCTGCGCACAGGCAGGTAAGGCACCGCCAAGCAGGGGACATTCCACTCCACCAGGCACCAGGGGTGCAAAAGCAGCTCATCCCTGGTGGCCACAGGAGCTCAGCTGTATGGAGCCTGCCAGTGCTGAGGGGGTGGTGTGCTCTGGGGCTACAAACATGCCCAGTGCCACTGTCCACACGAGGATCTGCCTTGCCAACCTGGGACAGCAGCACGTGCAGTGGTGGGAGACAGGCTGTGGGTAGGAGCTGTGGGTGAGGGGGTGATATGCGTGGGAATAAGGCAGTCACTGCCTTCCTCATCCAGGGCCAGAACAGGCAGGGGGGTGTGCGCATGCACACATCAAATGCAAAACAAACAAAAAAAGGTTTAGGTCAGTAGTTTAAAATGCCTTGCACTATTACTAAATATCAGTTATCGGATCGGCATCAGCCAATACAGCTGTTTAATCATTGGCTATCGGTATCAGCCAAAAAAATCTTTATCAGTGCACCTCTGTTGAAACCCCGCCCCTGTTCTCTAACCCTGCCAGTGTGCAAAACTAATATAAATTACACTTGTGTGACTGTCATCCTTTTAGGCCCAGACACTTAAACTTAACCAAGACAAAACTGAGCTTCTTTACAACAGTCTCGCAGGTTGCAAGAGTGAGAAAGGATGAGGGAGAAAGCATAGGAAGCATCTACATTTACAGGCAGTTCTTGACTTATGACTGTTTGAGTTACGACAAACAGCACTTATGACTTTAAAACTACGACACTGTTTCAAGGTTTCGACTTTACAACACTGGACACAGCTGCCTAGACACAGCTCCTCCCTCCCTTCCCCACCACCCCCTGGGCAGCCCCTGTCCCAGCCCCAGCTCCAATCCCTCCCTCGCTGTGGGGGCACTGATCTGTGCCCCACGCCACATCACAACAGACTTACCAGCAGGAGGCAGCTGTGTCGAGCTCAGTAAAGGAATCAACCCCCATTTATAACATTGTTCCTATGGGAAAATTGGTTCCAAGTTATGTTTCGACTTAAGACGCTGTCGGAACCAATTGCATTGCAAGTCTGAGGACTGCCTATGTCTGAAGAATACCACAATTGCCATCTTAGTTTTCCTTTGTTCACATGAAAACTTATGAAGTACATGAAAGATGCATTCAGATTTACAAAGTTCAGACAAGGACCAGAAATTAATTGTTGCAAACCTATGCTGAACTATTTCTATGTTCTAATAAGTATACATCAGGGTTAAGTCATGATTTAGTCTATTAATGGAGTTTGAATAATAAAATATAACAGATTTTAATACTAAAAATCTATTACTGTATTTACTTGAATAGATGATCCTGATTATAAGACAATCCCCCAATACTTAGATTCCATATATGAAAAATGTGTAAATGAGTTATACTTTTGCACATTTAAAATCTAATTCTGGGAGGTTTGCCTTGATCATGTCCCCCTCCCACTGCTACAATAGGGAAAATAAACGGGAGGGGAGGAGGGGGGGAAAATCTGGTGGACCTCTTGCCCTCTGTTCCCACAAGTTCTTCCCCCTACAGCCTCTTCTGTCCCCCTTACTGTCATACCCTGCTCTCAGAGCACATGGAAGTTGGGGGAAAATTTGAAAACACTGATGGATGAATTGATACATCTGACCTTTTTTTGAAACTGATGCAAACTGATGCACAGGTAGTTCACAAACATACTTTTAAGCAGCACTTTTGTATGCAATTAATATTATGCATAGTTTGTACTCTTCATAATCCAAAGGTAAAAAGCTCATGATTTACTGTATAGTTAATTGGGCTGAGCTCCAGCAGAGTCAACAGCGCTTCAAGCCATGGTGAACCCATAGATCAGCACTGCTCAGTATATGCGTGTACTCCATATATTCCCTTCCCTCCTAACAAAGGATCCATGTGGTAGTTAGCTCCCCACTCATGACTGGAACTGGATGTTCTTCCCAAGAGTCTTGGGATCCTTCAAAAATGTATATGCAGATGAGGCATAGGGCAACCTGGTCTGGTTCCACCTCCTGGAGGGGGTTGCGACCATCATATGCCACAGGCTGAGGGGAGTGGGATGAGGATGGAAGGATACTAGGTGAACTGCTTGGGGCCCCATTTGGTGATGTTTGCCTCACATTTAAGGCTAGTGAAGAAAAGGGAAAGGGAAAAAGGCACAGCTCAGTTGTGGGAGTGAACCGAACGTTAAAATGTACTCAGTACAGTAGCTTACCATGACTTGAAAAAGAGTTGGCACTCATGGGGACTGAGCACAACGGGCACTACCATACATCTTATTCAGATTGGCTGCACTAACTCATCCTTGTGGTAGGTTCCCATTAGTATGTTTGCCCAACATGGGTCACATGTTTTATTGTGATCGTCAGTGCTGGCTGTATTTAAATCAGCTTCATAGTTGGTTTCCATGACTGAGCACATGCTGCTTTTGGCAGCAGTTTAATAGCAGACAATGTATTTAATGAGGTTTTCTTGTATGTGAATCTAAGATGAGGAGCTTTTTTCCCCCCTATGCTAACTGGGGAGCAAAACCTCTTGCATTCAAGTAAATATGTTATATTTCCTTGACTCTGATAGAAGTATTTATTATATTCACAATGAATGTCACACTGACTGCAATGGAAAATGAAGACAGTCTAGACATTTACATTATGAGGCCGTATTGAGATTTAAATACTATACACTAACACTATTAAGAATACATGGCACTGCCATTCATTACCAAATATTTACTGTTGAATTACTCTTACTAAATACTTACTTACTACATTCAGTTCTTACCTGTAAAAGGAGAGGTATAAATGTTTCTATCTCTAGAATCTGGGCAGACTCTTCCATTAAAATGTTATCATACTGAAAGAGAATAAAAAAATGCTTGTCAAAACACAAAACAACAGCAGGAATATATACATAGGTGGAACTGAGGGATAGTCATTTCAAAACTACATGTACAGACAAACTAAATTAACTCAAAGCGACTTGTAGCAAGAGTAGTAACCTTTTGTCTGATAGACATCCATGGACACAAAAGTAAATCTCCATTAAAACATAAATAAATATACATGTGGTCTTCTGCCATCGAAATCTCTCATCATTAGTATTACTCAACAGTGCTACTGAGTAACTCAGTCACCAAGACAATTATATTAATCTATGTTTCTGAAGGCCACACATTTTTTTTCTTGCTTTTTAGAGGCAAACTGTGACTGGTGTCAATGACAGAGTAAGCTGAAGGCTATTTTTTTCATTAGTATTTTTCTTTTAGCCTCTATCTTATTTTCTTTCTAGGTCTAGCTAAGAATTCCTTCCACTGTTCTTGTATACAGCGGTCCAGCAGTTGTGGGGGAGGACTAGCAGCCAAGGATCAGGTTCCAAATGGTCTAAATTTTTTCCATATATATTCAGAGCATCACCCCACTTAACCACAGAGTAGGAGAGAGATTCCAAATGACCCACTTGAGTGCCATGTATCCCCACGGATCTGCTGAAGAGACTTCAGAGACTTGGGACAGTGAGACAGATATATGCATCTATTACACGAATATCCCCATTCTGACCGATTCCTACACCTGATTTGGAAATAGTTCATTAGAATTTTACTTTCACAGATTTATTGAACAGTAAAAAATGTATAACTAAAATGAAGAATGTGACAAGTAAAAACAGAATCTTAAAAAAATTCTGTAATTCCAGAACTGCCCTCTTACAGGCAAATCCTTATCCCACTGAAGTTAATGACAGAACTTCCATAGACTTCAAAGAAGATTTTAATGTATATAACTAACTAAACTAGTGTAGTTTAAGTGATGTAAATCCCATAATGTGGAGTCATACTGGTATAAAGAGATTTATACCAACAACTTACTCATGGCACAGGTGTCAAACATACAGCCCACAAGCCAGCTCTGGCCCATGGAGGTGGAACATCCAGCTCATGGGACTTTTTGCTATAGCTGCTAACAACCAAGGAGTTAACACCACTGCCACTGAAGCTCCATCATTATATCTGCCAAAGCCAGTGTCAGCCTGGCCAACACCCCAGCAGTGAACACCACCACTGAATTTAATGGATATGGAGACGAAAAGCTGCAGCATTCCTTCTCCCAGGTGCTGGCCAGGCTGTGCACTGCAGCCATCGGGTGCACAACAGGGCTGGCAGCTGTGGCGAGAAGTCCCATAGGCCAGAATCAGAGGTGGGTCATCTAGCCCAAAAGAAGTCCCGCCTTCTGGACATGGCCTACCAACTCATGTTCGTTTGACACTCCTACCTTAGCGATACTGCACCAGCAGAAGTTGTTCTAGGACAATTATTTCAGTTTCATATTACAAAAATTTTTATAGCAAACATATATGTTATATACACACACATTTTGCTGTGTGGGTGTTTGTTATGTGAAAACTGTGTGCAGATCAAACACCAAAATTCACACACAAGAATAAAATAAATTAATGTTGTAGCAAAAAACTGTTGATTATTTAGTTTAGCAGCACGCTAAAAGGGTCCTAACGTCTCCCAGTTCTCCTTTTACTTTTGTTTTTGTCAGCCAGTCAGCATCACTGCAAGCCTTCCAAGTCAATCCGTCAAGCAATGTAATCACCTTTTCCAACAGACTTTATGTGCATTTATAAAGCAAATAAGAAACAAGTCATGACCTTATATACACAAACACACTGATGTTTGTATGTTACTTGCACATAATCACACTTACATTTTTAAAGTGCAAAATTAGGCCATTTCAATGCTCAGAATAACTCCAGAAAACATCTCTATTTGTATTTCTGTAGATAACAGTGAAATCATTTTTCATTAAGATGACAAACTGACAATATAATGGTCTTAAAACTCCAGTGATTCAAAGCAAGTTAGTAAGCACTATATACAAAACAGGAAAAGGTAAGGTGGAAATCTGTTGCTCTGAAACATTTTACCATTACTGCAATCATTACCTTGAAACCTAATTCAACCAGGTCATGTCGTTTCAAAGCAGCATGTGTACAAGTCATTGCAATGATCTTTGCTTCTTTTACCAAGAGGTATTTGGATCTGTCCAGGCCACTGCGGAGAAGTTCAAATGCCCTGAATTCCTACAGAAAAAAAAAAGACTTCATAAGAATGAGACTCAAAACTGATGTTGCTTACAACAGAACTGTGTATTCAGAAGCCATCTGACTATGCTTCTCAGATTATTAACCAAAAATATACAGATGAAGAATATCAGCCAGTAAGAATTTCAAATTTCAGTAGTACATATAAAGACAAGTTCAAAAAGGATCATTAAAATTCACCCACATAATTTAATTTATACACTTTTTCATGTCTACAAATAAACTTATACATACAATTGTCTTAACAGTTCTGAGGACATTCATTGAAAAGATGAAGAAAGCAAGTTTTTCCCCATGATTTTTTTTTGTTTTGTTTTACAGCTTCATAGCATCAAATTTTGAAAACAGAAAATCAGGCCAAATACATGTAGTTTAATGTCACCAAATACATGCTTTTAACATTTTTGGTGTATGGCACTTTTAGGTACCATATTTACTCAAATACAAGACAAGGTTTTTTACCCCCAGTTGGCATGAGGAAAAGAGCCCCTTGTCTCATAATTGCATATAAGAAAACCTCACTAAATGCATGGTCTATCATTAAACTGCTGCCAAAAGCTCAGCAATGGAAACCAACTATGAAGCTGATTAAATGCAGTCAACACTAAGCATGGCTATAAAACACGTGGCCAACACTGGGTAAACATCCTGATGGGAACGTACACAAGAATTTTTGGAG